ACATTATGTTAAAAAAATTAATATGACATGAATGCAAATTCTAAAGATGGATGAGTGGAAAAACTAAAAAGGATAGGAGTAGGAATGGAGTTATCCATAGGAACTTAATTAGGAGTGGAGATGTCAACAGGTTGGATTTGGTATAAGCTTGCCTACTGAACCTGATCCAAAGTAATACTAACCCAAACCCGACTAAATAAAAAGGGGCTACTGAATCTGTCCCGCTGATCCAACCCATTGACATCCCTATCTAGGAGTAGCTCCAAATAGGTGATAAAATGAGAAACAAATAGTAGAGTAAAATGGTTTGGGCACATGCATAGAATACCGCCAACTATGTCGTTTAGAAGAAGTGATTTGTTACACATTGAAGGGGATAGAAGATCTCAGGGTAAACCGAAAAGGGTATGGGTAAAAGTAGTAAAAAATGATATAAAGACTAACAATTTAACAATGGATATGACTTTAAATACACAATTGGAAAAACAAGATGATGAAACCTCATATAAATGGGATAATGCATGGATAATGATGATGATGAAGATTTTCATTGTGGATGTTAGATGCTTCAAGCCAATTCAATTTCATTTCACAGCTAGTTTCACTCAATGTTCTACAAAACTGGATTAACCAATGAACCAAAACTATGAATGGTTTGGTTCAGTCCAGTTGGGCCACAATCTTTTTTTTTTTTTTTTTTAATGAAGGTTCGGCGACAATCTGTACCTACAGAAAGCTGGTTTCTATGGTTTATTAATGTGGTTTCTTATCAAACTAGTTTCCTAGCTAGCTTGGTTCATCAATAAACACGTTTCTTGATCAGTCGATCTAAAGAAGAATTGGGGTTTGGTTGATCAAACGAGGGGATACTGAAAATTACAAGGTGGATCAATGGGTGCTCGATTTCCTCATTTGGTTCAAGTTGATGTCCTTGTCCTTGAATATGTCATCAGTGATGTCAGGATCTGTTTAAGAACAAGGAATAAAAGACCAGCAATACGACCCCCAAGTATACCAGCTTTGAAAGCACAACAGAAAATAGTTATCAAATGTGGAGGTGATGATACTGGGTATTGATTTTCAGGCCAAAACCCAGTTGACTGCTGGAACCCTCTTTCTAGTAGGATGATACACATCTAAGATGAAAGTCTCTCTGCACTATCAATTAGATATGGCTTTAGGATGAGTTTGCGGCTTTGATCTCGGCTAAGGGGTTTCAACGTGATAAGGACCAACCAAAGCTGTCTGCTTCAATGGACTCTTCAAATGAAATACAACATTTTTGAACAAAAAAAATTGAGAAGAAGATAAGGGTATGGTGCCCTGGATGGTCCACTTTCTGCTATTGTAATCGGGTTCTTTCTAAAGTTGTTTAAATGGAAACAAGGAAACGACAAATAAAGGAAGATATGGCGTGGCTATTTGGCTCTGTTTGTAAAAAGAAATGAAAAGAAGAGAGAGAGAGAGGAAAGAAAAGAAAGGAGAAACTCTCACTCTTTGTAGCTTCCTGGTCAGAAAGATAATTAGATAGAAGCTACCCATATATGTTTATTTCAATTTGGGGTGGACCATTGTCCTCTAAATGGTATTAATTAAGTATTGGGCAGTGGGCACCCTTGTCTCTGATAAGTCAGTGGTCTTTTCATGACTCAGCATTCACACCCATTACTAATTACTATTTTCTGGCAACTGTTTTTTATTCATTGAAACACTCAAGCTGGTGATGGGTCCATCTACTTTTGAAATTTTGAATCACTACCAAATTGTGGGGCAATAGATAGCTAACACACGACCCTACAAAACTTGCATTTTACCACAATAATAAGCAATACAAAATTGTGGAAACCGAAAGCAAGAAAGTATTTGTATGTGTGAGTGATTTTGCTCGTAAAATATCAAAAGAGGATGGTAGGTGGTGTGGATGAGAACATCATCATGCTTGAGACATTATTCAAATCTGATTAGACCATTCATTAATTCCATTCTGTGAGCTATATCTTCAATGGCTCATTATTGTCTAAACCTGCTTAAATTCTTTGATTTTTAATAATTTTTTATACAAGTTATACTTTTTTTTGGTAAATCACCCTCAAGTGGTCACATTATATGCATCTTATTCAGATGAATATGGCTGCGTTACAATGCAAACGAAGATGTGTACACTGAAATATGGTTTAGATTTTAAACTATTTTTGCATTCATCTTGTTTATTTGAAATCAGTGCTAAGTGTGGGTCTCATCATTAAATCAATGTCTTAACTTTGGTTAAAAAATTGATTATAAAAAAGAATACAAAATTGTATCCAAAAAATAGGTATAGTAATACTCTTTTTTCAGAGTATAAAAAATCAAAAAATACATTTTTGATCTAATAATCATTACATTTTTATATATCAAACAAATACTTGCAAGAACCGCAGTATATAAATACCCTAATTCGGCGTTTGTATTACAAACAAACGGAGCCTACGGGAATAGACATAGGGATTTGGAATAAGGCCCAAAATATAGCAAAGATTCAACCTATTAGTATTTATCATATGATACATACAAGTTTTTAAACCCATCGAAATATTGTTAATATTAACTTATGTTCAAACATAAAACCCCTCTTAACAAGTGTTTGGAAGGGTATAGCTCATTAGGCTCAGTTTGGAAAGAGTATAAATACAAATATGTATAGTATAAAATCTTGTATTTTGTGTATGTATTTATATTGTGCATTAGACCTGTTCATGGGCCGGGTCGGGCCAAGTTCGGGTTTTGAATATGTATCAACAGAATACACTCAGGCGCGAGCCTGAGCTCGGCGCAACCATCAGGCCTAAGTCTTGAGCTTGAGCCTGGCCCTCATTAAAAGCCCAAAGCCCGGGCCCAAGCCCGAGCCTGGCCAGAAATTTGAAAATAGATTTTTTTCTTCTTTTTTATTCAATAAAAAGTGTTTTATTTATATTAAAAACCTTCAAATCTCAAAAATAATAAACATCTCACTATTACTTGAAAAAAAGAGAAGAACAAAGAAAAAATATTGATATATATTTTTTATTAGCGGGCCTAAAATTATGACCAAGCCCGACTTAATAATGGGCCAGGCTAGGCAAACCTGTCAGGCTACCTGACCCATGAACAGGTCTACTGTACATATTTGTATTTATACACCTTCCAAACTGAGCCTAAGAAACATGTGAAACGCAATTTTTGCATTTTGTACAAATTGATATTTTGAACCATGGTTTGGAAGGGCAAGCCAGGTCTACATTGGCTTAGCTTTATCAATTTAATAGGAGACTTGAGGAGCTTAGGAGGCAGAAGCTGTGAATCTACCTGGCTTTGGCTTTGTCTTTAGCTTTAGAAAACCATGGTGTTATTATCACCTAGGACTTCATCAAATCTGCAGCCTATACCTATGGTTCTCTTCTATACCTAGCATTGCCAATTGGTTGGGTTAGGTATGACTATCCACAAGAACACTATCCACATCAACCCATAATACACTTAGGCCTCGTTCATTTATTGGTAAATAGGGGGAGAGGGGGGGGGGGGGAGTTGGTCAATGGGTATCTATTTTCCACTGACCAATTTTACCATGTGCTTTTTACATAATGAATGGCCCCCTACAATAAAACCAGTTCTATTTACACAGGTGAAACTTATTCATCTCCTAAGTAGATAAATAACTTTTCCACTTGAGGAAAATTTTATAAAATATGATAGGACAACATCATTTATAGGTAAAAATGTAATTTTATTACTTATCTTGAAAACCTGAGAATTAAAAGAACAAGAATAAATAAATTTATCCAAATAAATATTACCCAAAAAAATTTACCTGATAAATGCACTTAGCCGAATAAATTATAAGATTCTAAACAAACAAATTGTATATTATAATCATGTCCTCGTAAATAAGTAAAATATAAATAGAGGAGATATTCCCAATATAATGCTAAAATGTAATGTATAGATCGCATTCTTGGGTAATAGATATATGCATGTCTAGTCCCAAGTGGCCAATAAGTAGATGTGTTTCCCATTTATGAATCAGACCTTATATACGGTTCCAAAACTGACCCAACTAATATTAGAAGCTATCAGGTCTATTCTAATAACATCCAACCATAATTTACAGCCCTGCGTTTTGGGCTGTAATTTGATAATAAACCTATTTAATAAGTATATCATGAGAAATAGGCTTGGGCCCTAAACGGGTGTAAATGATCACACCAATTCTGACCCAATTATAACGGTGACAAGTTATGCAGACTCCAGACCTGATCCTGTATATTTGGATCGGGTCAGTTCAGTTTTGTCAGGTCTGCCTGACTCTATTGATAGCCCTACCCCTACTACATATACATTGGCTTGAAACCACTTTTGATAGTGTTGGATTAAAACCGTGAAATCACGGCCTTTGAAGTATTGATGTGACCCCACTTGTAGTAGATGAAGTACGTCAAGGTGGGGCCATTGAAGGCTGGGATTCACGGTTTAACCCAAGGCTAAGACCACGTCACCAGACTTTCACATGGTGTTGTCATTATACCATACACCATGATGTCTTTTTGTCATGAAACCAGTGGCTTTGTTTGTTGAATTTAATTAATCCACTATCACATGGTCTGAAGTCTGAACCTACGTCTAATTATTAATTGTTTTTTAATTACTAGATTATGCTAATTTTTTAAATCCAAATAATTCGAAAGAAAAATAAGGAAGTCCACGTCAGTGGACGTACATACTGGATAGGCCATCCATGCGAGTTCAAACCGTCTACGGTTCTAATGGCAACACAAGGGCCTATTGCGATGGACCACGTCATCTCCGTACACGTGAGCCCCACGCGCCATGGTGACGTGGCAGATCTTGATTGAGAAAGAGATGACGTGAGTACACGTCATCCACAGCAATGACGCGTTGTGGTGCGTAACTGGCGTTGACGCAGGACTCCTCCGTTCCTCCCTCCCCGTATTTAACCACTCTCCCGTGCCCCTACCTTAAGGGCAGGGGACAACCCAGCCCATCTCTCTCTCTCTCTCTCTCTCTCTGAATTCTTCTTCAGTTGTTCTTCTCTCAAAACTCTCAAATCCATATCTACCCCATCAACTTTGAGTCATGCAACAGGCAATCCCATACAGGAATTGGCTGCGGGTGACGGCGGCGGCCGATGGTCCAATCGGACGGACGCCTCCGGCGGTTCATGCCGAAACTTCCTCGGTGTCAGGGAAGAGTGTCAAGGGAATGGTGTCGGAAAACGCTGTGATAGTGTTTGGGAAAAGAGGGTGTTGTATGAGCCATGTGATGAAGAGATTGTTGTTGGGTTTGGGAGTGAACCCAGCTGTGTGTGAGGTTGATGAAGCAGATGAGGTGCGTGTGATTGATGAATTGTCCACAGTTGGTGGTGGGAAAGACCACGGCAGACCCCAGTTCCCGGCGGTGTTCATTGGAGGGAAGTTGTTTGGAGGGTTGGATCGGCTCATGGGTGCTCATATTTCTGGTGATTTGATACCTGTGTTGAAGCAAGCTGGGGCCTTGTGGCTTTGATTAACTCATTCTTTTCTCCTCTTCAAGCAATTTTATTGTGGGAGAGGATTGCAGACAGCAGACTACTTTTCTTTTTCTTTTCCTTGATAGAATCGGGTCTTTTGTTCTTGCTGCTTTCTGCTTTCTTTTAGAGTTAGAAATGGGATGATACATACTGAAACAGAAACACAGAAATAACTTGAGGGTTTGTAGATTTGTAAGCTTTTCTTGTGTAGATTAATGGGCTTGATTTGTTTGGATTTGAAGAAATGGGAAACTATGAATGTTATCTCTCCATCTTTCTCACTTGCAAAAAAAAAAAAGGAAAAATAGAAGCTTCCTTCCGCTGTGCTTTTCGTTGCTTATTCTTTTCTCAAATTTTGAATAAAGGTTTTGTTTCTCACCATCTTTCTCTTTCATGTTTACTCCTCACATTTAGGTATATGTTCAACTCCATGCTGAATTTGAAATATAGAATTCAATGCATGGCCAGTCATTAATTTATTATTATTGTTATTATTTTCAATTTTTTTGTTTTATATTACATATTAAATAAAAAACTAAACTCTCAAAAGTAAATATTCAAAAAAGAAAGGGAGGAAGGAGAGGGCAATGGATTTATTTAAGTGGACAGTATTCTATTGAATCGCAGTCCAGAGTCTAGACTAATAAATTGAGGGTACCCATTTGGTAGCTCCTGAAGTCTGAACCAGAGTCCAGACTAATAAATTGAGGGTACCCATTTGGTAGCTCCTGAAGTCTGAACCAGAGAACCCACCATGCTTTAGGATGCCAGCTTTTAAAACATTGACATTGTTACTGATCTGAGGTGTTCAGTTTTGTAATCTGTTCAGCTTTAGCAGTATATGGCTACAGGAATGAAGTAATGGAAAAAAGAACAATTCCTACCCTGACAATGATGAAAATTAATTGAATTGAAAGAGCCCCATAAAAGATTTCTAATTTTAAAAGGAATTAAAAGTTGTTCTTCACCTTATTAGATGAATAGATCCCCTCTGATACAACTACGATTTCTATTTTAAGGGGTTTGATTCAAAGAGGGCTCCTCACAAGTGGTTGTCACAATAATCAAATATTCAGAAGCGTCACCTGAATCAGGTGTCCCCTCATGAACAGCTAGCGATCCTTAATTTTATTGAAGGAGGATAGACAAAGTCTAGAACGCGCCAGTGGGGTTTGTACATTATACTTTTCACCCTAATTAACAATTAAAAATTTAAAACTTCAAAACAGCTCTAGAAAAAAAAAAAGCAAAGGTAAAATTCAGTGGAATGACCTATTAAGGCTATAACCAGTTATCAACGATAAGGTGGGTATCAATGATCAGAACCGTCCAACTAAGCCATTTGATCAGTGGTCTCACTGTTTGAACAGTCAAGATGGTCTAACTAATAAGACATGATATATAATTTCCCATCAGAGGAAACCATCCATGGTCAATCATGTTAAATTTGAGATTTTGATAATGCAACTTGCTGAGTTCGATCCCACTGGGTTTTGGACCGGACCATCCTTAACTTCCTCCTAACTTGTGTAATCTATGTGCACACCCAATTAAATTTTTATTTGAGCCAATGAGCGTTGTTTGATTACTGATAAAATTAGGTGTCCGAGGTCAACCACAACTGTCATTACATGTAAGGGATGACAGAAGAATAGGAGAGAAAAACCAAAAAGAAATCCCCTCACCTGTGTCAACTACCCAAGATTTCTCCAAACCCTATCATAAGAATCCTCTCTCTGATTTCAGATTAAAAAAAGATAAAGAAAGAGCCATCCGTTACACAAAAATCTTCAACTGCTGTTGAATATTCGCACCTTGATTAAAAGGATGCCAACTGGACCAATTGATATACAATTTTGTTTCAAGCTTGATACTTGGAAAAGGAGAGCAGAATTCTATAACCCGGTCAGGGATGCATGGAGTCAATCTGCAGTTGTGCATCTGATTCTGGTGGCGGGACTCAGCGGTTACTTGTGTTAGAACTCGGAGCAAATCGTCATACAACACACAAATAGAGGTGTGGAGGAGAGATGAGACTGAGAAGCTGTGATAAACTAATCGTGGACTTGTATAAACTCATCTAAATTAATGGGCATGTGCTATGTGCAATTTTATACTATTGGATGGTCCTGAGTACTCCAGAGTCTGGATAGCTTGTGTAGCCAAGTTTTCTATAGGACCTGGCAAATATCGTTCTTTTTCCCTCAATAAAAATGTGGATTATTGCCAAACAATGAGATGAGCTGCCAAATCTACAAGACAAAGTCCCTGTGTATTGTCCTTTTCACTATGAGATCTAAATAAGCTGCCTTGGGCCTTGGCATCCTCCAACTGGGTCGGTCACTCCTTACGTAGCATAGGAGGGAAGGTAAGAGAAAGCTCTGTTTGTGTCGGTCACTCCTTCGATAGTTGAGTTGACCCACATTAGATTAGAATACATGGTTCTGATAAGGGTCATGTCTGACTCATGAGGATTCTGGGTTCAATTTGTTTCCAAGGAAAGAAATCTGGGTAATGATGCAACTGCAGCCTGCAAGGTCAAGGCAAGGCACACCCTGCTGCGGCCCCAATGTAGTCATAACTTACAGCCCTGAAACGACACTGAGAAGCCAACCCCCTCGGGACTCAAATTCATTGCTTATGTTGGTATTTGGTGAAAACTGAAAACTAAAAGCCTTCTTGTCAATGGTCATCCGCCACATCATCACCACTCAAGACTCAACATTACATCCTCTAACCAGTAACTGTATCTAGCTATAGATATTCTCCTACAGAGAGGAGCGGGATTATTGCCACATTTCATGTCATCATATATATAATATTCAACTATTGCCTGAAGCATCATGCTTTGATTGGTTGGGCAGGAATGATTGAAGGGTCAACCGAGGTTATTAAATCTGACATCCAATTGAGTCCTTTATCGACTATGATATGAAAGAGATGATATTCGAAAAACAACTGACCAATAAATAGGAATCATAAATGTGGTAGGTAATAAGGTGTTATTTATCAAAATTCATGGGTAGGCTTTGATAGGTCAAAACTCCTTCCATACCATATCTTTTCCGTATCATAGATTTTCCTAAAAAATAAAAAATAAAAGCATGTTGTTGAATTGTATTTTGTTTTAAGAAGCAAAAATAAGTTGGCATGGTTTTTGAAACCATCGAAATGCTGATTTTCAAAACAAAAAGAAAACAAATGTTAGAATACAGTTAACGTATGATTTATTAAAGATGATAAGATATATTGTATGATTTAAAACAAAAACATGTTCTCCAAACCAGGAATTCAAGAACACAGTTTTTGTTTCAGTTGAAACAAAAAACACATTTACAACCAAGAACATGTCTTCCATGTTTTTGCTTTAAGAAATAAATTGTTTTCAAACAAGATTGTTTTAACTTGTTTTTGGAGTTCTCAACAAGAAAAAACAATTCACATTGAGGAACACTCCCTAATAAACCAGAGGTGATACTTGAAAAGGGGGGGGGAGAAATATTACAAAGAACCTTTTTAGTGAACATCTCGTCCCAACTTATACCAGTATCATCCCAGAGTGAAACTCAATAATCACCAATTCCTGCTCTCTTCCGTGCATAGTGGAAAAGGATGTATGCGACTCGATCGGGAGATTTTCTTCCCAGGATCTTAAAGCATTCTCTAGGTTGAAGATGCACAAACTGAAACATTGAGGGTGAGGGTGGGAGGAAACTTGACTATAGATTAACCATAATAAGGAGAATCCAAAAAAGGAGGTGCAGTATCAAACCCTGGAACTGCAGGCTCTCTGTGGTATGGTCGGTGGGCCTGGACCTCACATGCACTCTGCTCTGTTCCTATACCTGAGTCCCCACTAATATGTTGTATGTAAGACCAAAAAAACAAAAGAAAAAATAATTATAATAAGGTTAATCAAGTTCAGAAATTCAAGTTGTATCCAGGCATCCAGCCATGAATCAAAACTGTCCAGTAGAGTAGTATTGGGAGAAGAAGCTAAGGATGAAGAGCAAATGCAAGATCTGTGGAGCTGCCTTTTCCAGTTGATGCTGTATAGCATTGTTTTGGTTCTTTAGGTTGGATGCTTCAACGAGTAGGTGGTCATCAATTGCATCATCAAAGTTAAAGGCATAAGATACATTTTCAAGCATCTGGGTTTTGTTATTGGACAACTGGGAAACTGTTAGTGCCAATCTTAGTCAAGCCAGATGAAGAACTTTGTTTCACCAAACGAGTCAAGAAGCATATTAAGCGCCGATTTGGCCACTGCAACCTCAAAGAGTGATTGTTTATTTTCCTTTCAAGTCTACAAATAACTTTTGTTATATTTGTCCTGTGGACCCCATAAACACACTTGGATTACTGTCCACTGGCACTGGATTTACTAGCATGGTCCCCTTGTGGAACAATGCTGGAACTGAATTATCACTGTCAACTGTCGCAGATGGTGTAGTATTAGTCCTCCTGACATCCAAAGTATTTACTCAATTTGCATGTCTATCGAATTCCATTTTATCCAAACAATGCTTATGTGTTTCATTTTCAGGTGTTGTTTCAACTTTCAACTAGATCAAATTCCTGGCTCTTGCTTTGTCTTAAATCCTTTACAATGCTGCAAATCCAAACATAGTATTAGCACTATCTAGTGAAATTTATTACATTTACATAGTTTGTTTTGTATCAAGGAATCCCCACCCAATATAGACAACCACAGAGGGTAGCCATGGAAGTTGGTCTTTGCAATGCCCTACCACCTTCAGGCTATAAATGATAACTAGAACAGCTAAGGCACACCAAAAACCCCCAAGGAAAATACCATCTAGCGCTTGCAGAAGGCAGAATGCAAGAGATTCCATCAATTATGATACCTGGGTACCCTCACATGCTCACTGTACTAGTGTCAGACATGATATGTATTCAATATTAGAACAGATATAGCACCAACACTTCAACATTATATGGTGGTATATTTTAACAACGAGCTTTGATAGCTTCACCACCACCATAAATTGGGAATTTACTGCCTATAAATAACATGAAACGTAGGAAGGGTGAGATGGTTAATCACAGAAACAAATTAAAATAATAAAGAAAACAGAATACATAAATAAATAAGAAAAACTATGGGAAAACCTCTTCTGTGGCTCTATCCTACAATCCCAAACCGTTTCTTGTTCTCTTTTTCCCCTTTCCTAGAGTTAATCTTCCTTCTCTTTCTATCTTGAACTTTTTCTTCTTCTGAAAATAGAAACCGGGGGCAACTAGGGAAAAAATTCTCTTTTGATAATTCCCCTTCTCTTCCTCTTCATCTACCCTAATTTACAAATCAACAATCAAACCCTAACTTTGATCCATCACTCATAGCAATAGAACCCACAGAC